TAAAATAAATAAAATAAATAAAATAAATAAAATAAATAAAATAAAGTGGACGAGCTGCTCTACCCAATGAGCTACAACCTCCAAATATATATAAAAAAATAAAAAGAATACCATGAAAAAGTGTAGAAAGACACAGACCTCCAATTCAATGAGTGAAAAATGTATTAATTTGATGAAAACCACTTCATATTAAAGGTGTTGTTTTCACAAAACTCCAGCAGAGGGCGCCGTCACCACCCGTATCGCTGAAGGAAAGTTAAAATACTCTTCGTGCTTCATGAACTTCTCATTAAAGCATTAAGAGATTATTAAATAGATTAATAATTAAATCCTTATAAACCCTGAAGCTTCACCTTTATAACAACAATAAAGAAGTGTAGGAAGGTGTTAATGAAAAGCAATAAAGCACAATACATGTATACGTTTCACAGTGTATTATTGTAATACTGCATATATTATTATCAGAACTCCTTTAATTCTCATTAGTCTTTAATATTTTATTATATTTTGATGTTCGGACATTTATTTCAATGTGTTTGTTTCTGTATTTCATTTAAATTTACATTGTATTTTAAATTACAATCTTCACATTTTGTTTTATTGAAGGCATTTATTTTTATTATTATTAGAATATTATTATAACAAGAAGTATAAGCTGTGGTGGAATGTAACAAGTACATTTACTCAACATACTGTGCATAAGTACATTTACTCAACATACTGTGGACAAGTACATTTACTCAACATACTGTGCATGAGTACATTTACCCAACATACTGTGCACAAGTACATTTACTCAACATACTGTGCATAAGTACATTTACCCAACATACTGTGCACAAGTACATTTACTCAACATACTGTGCATAAGTACATTTACCCAACATACTGTGCACAAGTACATTTACTCAACATACTGTGCATAAGTACATTTACTCAACATACTGCGCACAAGTACATTTACTCAACATACTGCGCACAAGTACATTTACTCAACATACTGCGCACAAGTACATTTACTCAACATACTGTGCACAAGTACATTTACTCAACATACTGTGCATAAGTACATTTACCCAACATACTGCGCACAAGTACATTTACTCAACATACTGTGCATAAGTACATTTACTCAACATACTGCACACAAGTACATTTACTCAACATACTGCGCACAAGTACATTTACTCAACATACTGTGCATAAGTACATTTACTCAACATACTGCGCACAAGTACATTTACTCAACATACTGCGCACAAGTACATTTACTCAACATACTGTGCACAAGTACATTTACTCAACATACTGTGCATAAGTACATTTACCCAACATACTGCGCACAAGTACATTTACTCAACATACTGTGCATAAGTACATTTACTCAACATACTGCGCACAAGTACATTTACTCAACATACTGCGCACAAGTACATTTACTCAACATACTGTGCATAAGTACATTTACTCAACATACTGCGCACAAGTACATTTACTCAACATACTGCGCATAAGTACATTTACTCAACATACTGTGCACAAGTACATTTACTCAACATACTGCGCATAAGTACATTTACTCAACATACTGTGCATAAGTACATTTACTCAACATACTGTGCACAAGTACATTTACTCAACATACTGTGCACAAGTACATTTTTGAGGTACTTACCATCTTATGCTACTTTATCCTTTTACAACATTTCAGAAGGAAATATTTATTATGTTTATCTGACGACTTTAATTTCTTTACAGATTCATATTTTACACATAAAACTTATGATCGTGATGTGAAATGTGTCACAGATTAAATTTCTCAAATATATATGAAGTAGAATCAGCTTCTCCTGCAGCCGCTTCAACTGTAATAATGATAATAATAAAATATTCTAAATATTATATGATATCACATATTATTACATATATTTTATATTATTTGTTTTCGCACAAAGAGTACTTTTACTTTTTTTACTTTAAGAACATTTTGCTGATAATATGTTTGTATTTTATTGTTTTACTTCATTAATATTCAAATACTTTCTCTACTAACATGCAGTAGTGTTTGTTTACTTCTTGTGGTGATTGAATAAAACTTTATTGTCCTTCTGTTCAGAATCCAGACGTTCCGCTTGAAAACACGACCGACTGTCTGAGCACGATGGCCAGCGTGTGTAAAGTGATGCTGGAGACACCGTGAGTCCTGACGTGTTCCTGAACGCACCATTGCATCCGCCCGCCTGCAGACATGAACCAACACTGTGTGTGTGTGTGTGTGTGTGTGTGTGTGTGTGCAGGGAGTATCGCAGTCGCTTCGCCAGTGAGGAGACGGTGTTGTTCTGCCTCCGTGTGATGGTCGGCGTCATCATCCTGTACGACCACGTTCACCCGGCCGGAGCCTTCATTAAGACCTGCAATATAGACGTACGTCAGCAACACACACACACACACACACACACACACACACACACACACACACACACACGTTTTGTCGTTCAAGGGCCGCCGGAAAGTTTAAAATCTGACAAACATTCAACACATCTGGAGATACGAGGTTTTTCATGAAGTAACATCTATATAATAATAATAATAATAATAATAATTGTTATTGTTTTCAGATGAAAGGCTGCATCAGAGTGCTGAAGGAGCAGCCGCCCAGCAGTGTGGAGGGATTACTCAACGCTCTCAGGTCTGACTGTCCTCAAACGCACCACAGAAATCACAACCATTATCTCTCCATGTCTGTTCATTTAAAGGCTGAATTCCTGATTGATGCTTTTATTGAGTTCCCTTTAAACCTCCCTGCAGGTATACGACCAAACACCTGAACGACGAGGCGACGTCCAAGCAGATCAAAAACATGCTGCTGCCCAATTAACTCCACACGTCTGCAGAGAAACGGAGACAAAAGTGTTGTGGTCCACATTTCAAAAAGAACTACTGAACAAACCTTTAGCTAATATTTCTTTGTTTAACCTCAGATGTTTTTTTAAAACTTTTTTTATAAAGCTGTTTTTGTTTTGTTGTTTGTTTGATCCAAGAAAAGATGTAAAATAGTATTTGCATTCACGTCTCTTCAGATTTACATAAAATACAATCGGCTGTTGATTCCGACACCTTGTGGACATTCAGAATATCGTTCACTTCTTCAGAATATCGTTCACTTCTTCAGATTTCTGTCGTTGGCCCGTGAATTGATTCGTGTTGGCAGTCCTGCTAGCGCCCCCTACAGACTACAGCGTTCATCATATTTTCTATGACATGATGGTCAACTCTGTTATCTGAGTTCATGAACGTCAAAACACCACGAAGAGACTCAGAGGTTTCACTTCCTTCACTTTTAAAACGGAGCTACAAACAGTCCACTGGTCGTCAACGTGGTTAATAGCTTCAGCCGGTGTTCTGGTTTAACGAGTGACCGTGTTAACTGGTGACTCTCAGCATCCTGGTACGAAAAACCACAGACGCATTCGGTTGAAAATCACCAGTTAACATGGTCACCCGTTAACCTGGAACACACTGCTGCTCTGAATTCTGCAGATACTTGAGTCGATTCTGACAACCGAACACGAAACAACCAGACAATTCAGTCGAGGATAAACACGTGGAACTATGAGATCAAGTGATGAATATCTTCATGTTCAGCCACTAGTTCGTCAAAATGAACAACTTAATCCAGTCCAACATGTGTTCGTCTGGAGTGACGTGAACGCAGCTTTCCACCAACTTTATTCCAGAACTATTTTCAAGAAGCCAGGAACCTTTTCCTCCGGAGGAACCTTGTTCTCGTTTAGTTCCTCGGGACGCACTTCCTACCTCAGATTTAGTCTCTGTGGCCGAGGTCGAACTTTTCAGTTTCACAGTTTTACTTATTAGTTAAAGCGAAGATCTTAAAGGTTTAAATACGGTTTATTCCAGTTTAGCTTCATCGGTTCTTGGGGTAACGGTAGAACAAACAATCCGATCGTTTCACCTTTTTGTTTTCTCTTCCACAAGTGTTTGTTTGTTGGACCCTAATTTCTATTTGCTCAACCAGAACTACTGTTTTCTGCCAAAGAAAGAGCAATTAAGTCATAAAAAACACTTAGATGTGAGTATTAACCTCGAAACCAAAGAAAGTCCTAAAGACTAAATGTTAAACCTTCATTCTCCTCCAGATGGACTGTCGCTTTAAAATACAAGACTCTTATAATCAAACATTAACATGCATTGCTGCAACTCGATCAGCCCTCGGATACAACAAGTTTTATGAATCAATTAAATTTTTAAATGAATTATGAGAAACAAAAGAAGGGAAAAATTAAATATATTTCAAAACTGCGCCTGGAAAACATTCCCTCTCGATGACTGATCACCACGGTTGAACTCACTGATTTGTCTTCAACAGCCGTTAAACAAAAATGTTTTTGTTTTACAAGAGAAAAGACTTCAAGTATGAAGACTGACTGGTTGGTTTCTGGTTAAACCTCGACCACCTCCGATGTTTCTATGGAAAGAATCTTTAACATCCAAAACAACTAGAATCCTAAAAACCAATCAAGGACTTTTCAAATTGTCTCATTTCTGCATCTTGTTCGTAATTATCTCAAACCCATTTCTGTTGATCTCAAACTTGATACGGTACGGTATAGACAAACAGTAGGAATTATATATATATATTTAAGCTAGATGGATAATATAGTTAACTCACTGGCTACATTGGAATTAGCAACGAGAAGGAGAATCACTGTGACGGAGACGATGCGGTACGAATACAAGTCATGACTGGAAATCTTTCTATTATTATTCTATTATTTTGCTTTGTGTGTTAACGCCACAGCGTCAGGGATGATATGGCATTAATTGTTTTAAATGATGCTTGTGTTGGCCGAGAATAATGATTTTACATTTTTAAAGAAAAATCTGATTCTCCTGTTTCTTTTTTCCCATCAGCATTTTTTAAAAGCTAAAATGAGGTATTTTCTGGACAGAAACATTTGAGGACCTCATCATTGGAATGAAGATGAAACAATAATGTTCATCTGTTTTCTATTGTTGATTGAGGAACAGTCGTTATTTTTAAATCCGTCTCTAGACTCATTGTTTCACTTCTGCTTTTCATGATTGTTTTTATTCTGTCTGGTGTTAATTCTGGTCATCATTGTTTTTTTTTTTAATGTGATCTATAAATAAATGTACTGGGAAATGTAACACTGGATTTTAACTACTCTGCTGTGACACAAAATGTTTTTCTTCTCACTGAGATGTTATCTGAGGTTACACCCACCCAACACGACCCGTAAATGTCTCGAGGCCTGCTGTTGATTTGGAGCTTTGGGATTGGAAGCCTCTTTTGTAACGCCATAACATAGAAACCTTACTTAAATGTAACACCCTGTCTGAATCCTCAAAAAGCCGTTTAAAGGAGTGAGCATGTCCTCACAAACAGGGACGAATGGGTACAGTCCTCACAAAGATAGAACACAAACACACACACATACATCCCTTAACCCCAACTCTTACACAAACCTAAACCTAACTCAAACCTGAACCTTAAAACCAAGTGTCAACCCTCAAACAAGCCTTTGACGAAGTGAAGACTGAATGTCCTCACTCGGTGGGTCAAAAACTGTCGGTCCTCACTATGTAGCAAGTACAAGAACACACACACACATAGATACATGGAATGTGTGACTTCCGGTCAGATGTTTTTCCCGGGAATTAACTATCAAAGAATCTGAACACTGTGTGTGTGTTTGTTATTTGATAACCGTATTGCTTGTCAGTCACACAACAGAATCTGAGGACAAACAGATTTGTACAAAACTAACAATTTGACAATAGAAATCATCTAATTTTAAGTGTGGGGGAGGGGCTGTATTTTTCACAACTGTATGTAAAGTGTGTTGAAGAAAAAACAAATGTCAGTATCAATGTATATAATACACACATATATATATATATATATAGAGAGAGAGAGAGAGAGAGAGAGAAGATGAAGCAGGAACCTGACAAATAACATCCTGACTCAGCCTTTATTTCCACAAAGTCTTTCCAGCCTCCGTTTGTTCCGGTGACTCATCACGGACAGAAAATGACTGAAGAGAAAGAAACTTTAAACTTTTCCTCGCTCTTCTTTCAACAGACGAGTCAGGTCTCAGGAACGACTTCCTGCTGAACAACAGTTCATCATCATCATCATCATCATCATCAGGGAAACAAGCTGCTGATATTCTCTTTATTTCTTCTTGTTCAGACTCAAACCAACAGAGAATGTTTCTACTAACAAGTATCCTGATGTCTCAAAGATCTTTATTCGTTCATTCTAGACTCAATCTCACATGCAAACACTCACTAGAGCTCCTCATGTGGATTAATCCGCCGCTGAAAATAGTCCCCAAACAAAAGTCACTATAGTTGCTACAAACCAGTCGGCAGAACGTTTTTTTTTGTCATTGTTGTTTCTGCAAAACCGCAAAAAATCTGTTTAACTTCGACGTGTCTGAACCAAAAACATAATCCATGAATCCATTTAATTTCAGCCGAAGAAAGGAGAAAAGCCTCTGCTTTACTTTGTTGGTGCATAACATCGGAAGAAAAAATTTAATTAAATTACAAATAAAAGAAAGTATTGCACAAACCAAAAAACATGAATATAGAATAAAGGAAAATTACAATAAACATGTTAAAAATAAAAGCTACGACATACACTTTAAATAATACCAAAGCATTATTTAGACATTTTTATGAAATTAATGAGTTTAACAAACGTGTTTGAGCCATGTTCAGACTGAGGATCATGTCTGCAGAGAAGATGAATGTTTTTTATCTTATCGTGATGTTTGAATGCGATCTTATCTTTATGATAAGAGTGTGGAGATTAGATATCCAAGCCGTCTGATGCAGGAACAAGGCCTCCTGGGAAACCTCAGGTGTGTCTCACCTGAGATCAAAGAGACAGGAAGCTGGGGGCGGGACTTCTCGCTTTAATCAAATATCTACTGTACGACAGTTCGCCAACATCCTGCTGATGACGATAAACTAAACTATGAATCCTGAGTATGAGGAACGTTCACCTGGTCCTGAACCAGTTCCAGTTCAGTCCTGAAACATACTTTGCAGGAGACGGGGTTTATAAAAAGAGAGAAAACGATTTAAATATCTTTTACTTTTAGTTCACCGTACATCGTTCTCTGGTATTTTTCATGTCCAACACAAAATCCACATTTCCAACAAAATAAAAAGCACATTTGTTTCTTGTCATGTTTTAATGAGATCATGTGACACCTCCAGCACAATGAAAATGTGCTAAAAATAAATTCTCTTTTATTTGGACTTCAGTTTCACGTCACAACAAACCAAATATAGACGTTAACATATCAGTTAAATATTTCATCATGAAACGTAGTTTGATCCAAAACTACGATGTAGAAAAGTGTGTTTCCTCTCTGTGGCCGTTGTACGGTGGCCTGCAGGGTTTGTTATCATCACCTGGCAGTTAAAAATAAACCTGTGTGTTTATTATCTCAGATCATCAAACAGGTGACTGACTCGCTCTACTTCCTGTCATCCGCTCACAACCGTCAACGTTAATACTCATAAAACACGACCTCGTTCTCTTCATCTCGCTCTCGTTTCTAAAACATTTGGGTTTGCAGAAGTACTCTGATCTTTTACTGCAGTTAAAAGTACTAATACCACAGTGTAGAAATACACTGATGCTGCAGTCAAAATGTCAGTTAAAGTATAAGAGTATCAGCATCATGATATACTTGAAGTAGTTAAAGTAGAAGTACTCATGATGTAGAATAATGTACATTATGTAATTGTGTTATAATTATTGAGGCATTAATGTGTTCATCACTTTAAAGGTGGAGCTCATTTTAATGACTTTATATAATCTGGTACTTTCATTTATAATAATACATCATTTATTAGTTCATTATATTTTCTATAAATAATTAATAAATATTAAATGGATTTATTGACTTTTGCCTATTTTTATAGAAACAACACAGAATCTCTGTCGTCCGAAACCAAGACAGCAAACTTTATTGTTCCTTTTAACCTTGACAAAGTCTTACCTTTCACAATAAAAGACCCAGACAGATAACATTCACAGGAGAATATTTTGCATTTTCGTGAAACTCTGTTTATTATTATTATTTATTTTTATTGATGTTTAATGAACTGAACTGTCAGTATCACACACACACACACACACACACACACACACACACACACACACACACACACACACACACACATCTGCTGCCCATATAAGGCGCTTCCTTCCTCCTGGTCCGAGGGGGTCGATGCCAGCAGGAAGCAGGAAACCACTCCTCTGTTTGACTGATATTGCCGCTCGGCATTGTGGGTAAAAACTATGAGCACACGTGGAGTGGAGCCTTATCAGCTCAAAGAGTTTTACTTTGCGTGGTTGTTGGTTCACCAGACGGCAGCTGTGTGATCAGATCACAAACTAACACCACTCTGCTTTTCTACTTGTCTGCTGCCATCCCATAATAATACACAGAATATATACATATATATACACAAAATGTATTCATAGTACACGCTATTGTTTCAAAAGTGTTTGTACAGCAGAGAGAAGTCAGCACACTTGATGGAATGAAACTAAGAACATCTACTCAGTACTGTGCTTAAGTACAAATATGAGTACTTTTATTAAAACAGAGTATTTTAACAGTGTGCTATTAGTACTATTATTGTAACATAGTATTTCTACAGTGTGGTATTAG